CAAACAAATAGGAAGCTGAGCAGGTAAGGGAAATGCAAACATTAAGGACACAACCAAGAACTACCAACTATAAGGAAAATCTAAGAGTTCTAGAAGGAGAGAATGGTGGGAGTAGGCCAGAGGAAATATTCAAATAACAGAATAAAATATCTTGTTGTCAATAAAAAGACTTCCAAAGGGACTATGAATGCTACCTAGAAAAACAAATTTAAATAGAAATACAAATTCAAAAACCCCAGATCATAACTAGGCACTGGCAGGTAAAATTTTAGAAAACTAAGATGAAGGGTAAAATCCTAGTATTTATAAAACAAAATAAAACAAAAACCAGATTATTAACAAAGGAATGAAGGTTTTAAAAGGCATTCTAACAATATTTTCAAAGAAAAAGAATAAAATGAAGATAATTTTAGACATGTCCAGATTCAGAGTTAATGCCCACAGTCATCATTTAAAGAAAACAAAGAAATAGGATTATAGGAATTTTCACAAACTTGGGAGTGTAAGAGAGAAAACAAATATTATTTAAACCCAAACCATAGTTACATCTGATCTCCAAAGGTGGCAGTTGGAGATAATCTGAGACCATACAAAGTATGTTTCTTCTCAAATTTTCGTTCACTAATTTTTGCATCCATCAATATATCATATCTGGAGCAATTATGACTTTCTATTTCTATTAATCTAGCGTAGAATTATAATTCTACTTTAAGGAAGAGAATCCCCTACCCCACTTATTTATTTAGCCAGTTATTTATTTAAACTATATTAGGGATATATATTTTGCCATATGTATTATAATTCAATATGATCATTATTTTGTTGCTAAAATTGTTCAGTTTGGGCCATTCAGAGCTTCTTTATGTTGATTCTTGTGTATCTTAGAAAAGATTCACGTTAAGAAAGTAATTTTTTTCCTTCAGAAGATGTTTCAGACTTTTTTTTTTTTCTGGCTCTGTTGGGACCAATCACCCTTCTTTTTTGTGGGGTGGATAATGGGGATTGAACTCTGGGGCACTCGGCCACTGAGCCACATCCAGCCCTATTTTGCATTTTATTTAGAGGCAGGGTCTTACTCAGTTGCTTAGCACCTTGCTTTTGCTGAGGCTGCCTTTGAACTCACGATCTTCCTGTCTCAGCCTCCTGAGCCACTAGGATTACAGGCATGCGCCAAGGCACCCAGACCAATCAACCTTCTAAGAAACCCTGGTTCCTTTTATTGGAGAATGGTATTTAGAAATCAAATTTAGTGCCTGGTGAGCTTTTCACTACTGGTAAATTATTACTTTTTGGCTCTTTTGGTGAAGACAGATGCATGTATACTAACCTATGTGTATGTATACTAACACATCTATATTTCTGCATCTACCGTGTTTACATATTAAAAACGAGTTCATACTAATGCACTGGATTCTGATTCAACATCACAGGGTTCATTTTAGCTGATCTTTTTTAAAAATATATTTTTTTAGTTGTAGATGAACACAATACATTTATTTATTTTTATGTGGTGCTAAGGATCGAACCCAGTGCCTCGCATGTGCGAGGCAAGCACTCCATCACTGAGCCACAATCCCAGCCCCTTAGCTGAACTTTTTAAGACTATAATGTCTTAAGTCTTTAAGACATTAAGTCTTAATGTCTCTGGTTTATATCAGAGTAACCTCTCTATGACCAGTCTTTTAATAATGATTGAAATACAAATGGCTGGGGGCCGTGTGTGTGTGTGTGTGTGTGTGTGTAAAGGAAAGGGATCCCGTCTATGTCTGGAACAACATAATGCAGGATAAGGGTTAAGGATACAAGACTGTGAGATCACCTACGAACTGATTCAGCATAAGTAGAAGGTCCTAAATCAAAGGTGAGTGGGAAAAATATAAGATCCTCAGGAGGGGTACCTGGAACATATTTTTCCCTTCAACTTTCTTTACCAATGGCAGACTTCAACAGAGGATCACCACACACTGACCGACTGAGCCAGGACATGGTTCCGTTCTCAATCTTGTACTTTAGGCAGTCACTATTTATCTATTAGAATTCCCACTGTGGGGGCTGGGTTGTGGCTCAGCGGTAGAGTGCTCGCCTAGCACGGTCGGTACTCGGATTCGATTCTCAGCACCATATTAAAAAAAAATAAAGGCATTGTGTTGTGTCCATCAACAAAAAAGATTCTCTCTCTCTCTTAAAAAAATAAAATAAAATAAATAAGGGCTGGGGATGTGGCTCAAGCGTTAACGCGCTCGCTCGCCTGACATGCGCCGAGCGCCCTGGGTTCGACCCTCATCACCACATAAAAATAAAAAAATAAAGATGTTGTGTCCACCGAAAACTGAAAAATAAATATTAAAAATTCTCTCTCTCTCTCAAATAATAATAATAATAATAATAATAATAATAATAATTATTATTATTATTATTCCCATTGTGGATGATACTTATTCCTAGGTAAAGAAATGAACAGCTCAAGTAAAGCATATTATTTGGGAGAGGAATATTGTCTATCATTAGAATTTTGTAAAAAGAACAGAAAAAAGCCTGACATAACATAGTAAATGAGGTCCAAAAATTTGATATATAAGACCAATTCCTAGGGTCCAGCTCATGATATGAAATTAAGTATCTCTTGATGGTCATTTGTTTACTTTGGCTAAAATATCAATGGGTCTGTTTTTTAACCATTGCCTGAGATGGCCAGAGAAGCACAATAACATTAGGAATTTCCATTAGTTGGGACCCAGTTTGATTACTGATTCTATGAGATTGGAAAGCATACCGAGGACTCAAGGACCAGCTGCCACATCCCTGTTTACCAAGGTGGAGTTGTTGCTATTACCTTTCCTGTTGGGATTCTCTTTCCCTTCCTTCTCCTGCTTCTTTCTGTACAATTTGAGCTCACCCCAACTAAGTGGAGAATGGGAGCCAACTGCCAGTCAGGTTATCTAAAAGTTCTCATGATGGTGAGGGTTTACTATACCTTATGGGAGTAGCTAGTAGAGGGCAGGTACACAAGCTAATAGGAAATAAGAGGGGAAATTATGACTGGGGAATAGTGGGGAAAACAGAGAAGGCAGAGAGGATTCAGAGAAACAAGTTTCAGAAGCAAAAAGGATCGAATGTACAAATCTGTTTTTTGTCAGATCAAATACATCTGATGCTCATGATGTAGTAGTAACAAAAAGTAATCCTGAAAAAATACACACACACACACACACACACACAGAGGCAGCAACAACAAAAAATAAACAATATGTGAATACAGTTTGATTTCTAAGTTTGTAAATGTTTGTATTTTTAAAACATGTTACTATGCCTGCTTCTGTGAAGAGGTGAGGATAGAGAACAGGAATGAATGGACCTGCTTTCTGCCTAAGGCTTACTGTTTAACACAATAGATAGCTATGAAAGTAAATAAAAACTAAGAATGAATATCAATAGTTATAGGATTGGGGATAATTTTATTTCCTTCTTTAAAAACCACATTTTCCATTTTCTAGAATTCTTATGTATTTTTTTATAATAAAAGAAAAGTAATAAATTTTATATTTTAAATGAACAAATTCTATAAAGACCAGGCTATCTGGAATCAATTCACATTCATCAGGCTAAGAATACCCTTATTTATAGAATACAAATTTTATTTATTCTGTTATGTTCAAATTCTTATGATAGCTGAGGTTACACAAGGAGGGTTAAGAACCCTTGATCACAAGGGAGATTTAGTTCTTACTTATGTGGTGTTTGTGGCAGAGAGAGCTGAGGGAATGTTTAGCAGATAGAAATATTAATATTTCTTTGATGAATAAGAGAATACTAGAAATGGATATATTTTATTTACATGAAATGTAGTTCAACATGGCATGACATGTTTTATCTTCTGATGTGGGAAACCCTTCCAACTCTGGATAAATATTAGGAGATACTCAAGTACCTATTATCAGCATATTGCCAAAGCTTCTCTTAGGGTGATAAAATTTGAGGAGTGCTTATCATTATTTATATTAGGTTAAATTATTTAACTATTGTCAGAAAGGTCTTTTTTTCCCACACTTTTAAGGGTAGGATAATAAAATAATAGTAATAGCAACATCATTTAATGAGTATTTATTTTATACTAGGCACTTTACATTGATAATCTCATTGGATCTGCAAAACAAATCTCTTAAGGTTAAGTATTGCAGGCCCACAATCTCTTATCCAAAACTTTGGAGACCACATGTGTTTTGGAAGTGAGTTTTTTTTTTTTTTTTTGCAATTTAGAAAAAAATTGGTATTCTTTGGCATATAATACATATACTATATACTTTGTAATATACTAAGTGGGTATGAAATATATTAATATTTCTGTAAAGAAATGTATGAAGGGTTAGGGATACAGCAATGGTGGAGTGCTTGCCTAGTGAGTGTGAGGCCCTGTGTTCAATACCCAGCACCACTCACAGACACACAAAATTATACTAAGTGGAATAAAGACCATAAATAATAATAATATGATTTGTTTACATAAATAAATTAGTGAATTTATCAATAAGTGAATACACTTACTGGTAAATGAAATAAGAATAGACTACATACTTTAAGCTTCTTATTTCTTTAGTTCTGGTAAAACTTCTCACTTTAAAGGAAATTTTTTTTTTTTTTTAAAGAGACAGTGAGAGAGAAAGAGAGAATTTTAATATTTATTTTTTAGTATTTGGCAGACACAACATCTTTGTTTGAATGTGGTGCTGAGGATCAAACCCGGGCCGCATGCATGCCAGGTGAGCGCGCTACCGCTTGAGCCACATCCCGAGCCTAAAGGAAATTTTTAAGTAAAAATTATATTCATACTGATGAAAACTAATATATAACACATATAAATGCAATAAATGTTCATCACTTCTGGTTCCTAGAGAATCTTGGAGAAAAAGTTACACCAATATTACCATTGTCTATAAAACCAGAGGGCAGCTAGACATAATGAGCCAGAAACAGAATTCTCAAGTGACATAGAAGAGAACTTTTTAAAAGGCCTTTTCCAGTGTCATCTGCCTCCTTAACACAGGTTTTTGTCTAAGCAATTTCTCTTTAATTGAGTAAATCGCCATGGTCTCTTGCTCACTGATGAATGCACATTGTTCAAGACCAGCAATTAACTGGTCACACATTTTCACCAGCTGTTCTATAGAGATTTTTTCACCTGTGTTCATGTCATCATCGTGACTGCTACTATCTTCATACTGATTTGTATTTACACCCATTTCAGCAAAATCCCCCTCGCTCAAAGGATGCACAACGGGTACATCATTATCAATGTTCAGTATTTCTTCAATGTCAGCTTCTTCTAACTTATTTACACTTTCAGCTGATAAACTTTTGGCATAAGTAATAAGTTTTGATATCATGATCTTCTCATTAGAATCTCTAAATCCTTCAAAATCCTCATCAGCAAGGTCATTTTCAAACATCATTGTAGCCCAAAGTCTGTGCCAAGCATTTGTTAATGTTGACTTATCAACATCATTCCATGCATTAGCAATTGCATAGATGGCATCCTTGAGACTAAATTCTTTAAGGAAGTCCTGGATTTTCAGGCCTCTGTTCACTGAAGCAAGCATGCTGTTTAAGAAAAAGTGTTTATATTTGCTCTTCATGGAGCGTAAAATTCCTTGGTCACAAGGCTGTATTACGGATGTCACATTCAGGGGAAGGAAGATGCTGAAAACATTACTTTTCACAAGAAGTTCTGGAGGGGGATGTGCTGAACAGTTGTCTAGGAACAGTAAAATTTTGCAATTGTCTTCTAGTCCGGCTTGCTTGCAATGAGCTCGTGCTGCTGGCACAAAGTGCTTATTGAACCAATCAGAAAAGATTTCTCTGGTTACTGATGCTTTTTTGTTTGCATAATAATGCACAGGTAAGCTGCCAGTACCTTTTAAACATTTTGGAGGTAGGCTTTTCCCAATCACTGCCAGTTTTATCTTATGTGTACCTGCAGCATTAGCACATCCAAGAACAGTTAACCTTTGCTTGGCATCCTTGAAATCTGTTGGTACCTTTTCATCGGCCATGATTAAGGTTTTTCTAGGAACATAGCACCAAAACAGAGCTGTTTCATCAGCATTGTAAATTTGTTCAGGGCTAAGGTTTCCATCAGATATTATCTTAGCAAATTCATCAATGTAATTTTCAGCTGTTTCATGATCCGCAGAAGCTTTTTCACCGCACATTTTAAGATATTTGATTCCATGACGCTTTTTAAATTTTTGCAGCCACCCTTCTGAATATTCACACTCACTTTCAATGTTCAGTTCTTCATGGTATATTCTAGCTTGTTTCATGACCAATAAACCAGTCAGGGGCATATCATTGCTTCTTTGTTGTCGAATCCATTCAATTAACACACGGTCAAGATCTTCATTTTTGGCCCTATGTAATGTTTTTCTGTTTTTCATTAGTTCTTGGTTATCACTGTCACTGTAAAATTTCAGCAATTTGTCTTTCTGTTTCTTTAAGTCATATATGGTGGTGGTCCCTACACCATATTCTTCTGTAAGACACCTTACAGACACACCAGCATCAAGCTTCTGTAATAACTCTACTTTCTGAGCTATTGATAAAGACAGATGCTTCCTTTTCTTCTTCTCACCATTATCCGTTGGTATATCTTTAACTCTTTTGGACATTTTCCAATGCTATTAATTCCCAAGTCACAAAACGTCAGCAAATAACAGAGGTATGTGTGTTGACTGGATATGAGTAGTGAGAAAATGGAGGCTTCATGTTTATCCACAGTTTGTTTTGTTGTCAAAGATTCCCAGTGCCAAACTCACAAAACACTTTTGAGTTTCAGCGTGTTTTCTGTTTTTGTCTTATTTTGGGATTGCAGAGTAGAGATTGTGGACCTGTATTAAAAATATCATTTTAATGATGAAAAGACTGAGGCTCAACTAGGACCTTTTCAAGATTATGCAGCTATTCCTTGTCTGTTCTGCTTATATTCAGTCTCCCAAAATTTGACCACTTTACTGGAAAGAAGAATTTTTGGGGGGAGGGGGGAGGATACTGTCTATCAAAAAAATTTGAGTTGGGATATATTTTAGCAATTCTGTGACTGACATAGTTATTAGGTGAGCCCCACGCTGGATAACATGGACATGTCTTGGCAAGAAGAGGTTAGAGATCTTAAATTTAGTCTTTGAATACAGATTTTCGTTTTTGGACCGATTCATGTGGTTGGTACTTATCTGTTTGGTTATTTACTGCTCTACAATGAAGAAAAATGAAAGTAAAGTTCTTTTCAGTTAAATCTCCAGCACTCACATAAATTTGCACTAGTTATCCATTCATTTAAAAAGTTTTTTGTTTACTTGTTTTTAACTGTTCCATAAATTGTACACCCAGAATATGACTCAGAATTAATTTAAAACACATTTCAGACATTTTAATGAGATGTTTCCTTTAACTTAACACTCAGAATGTATTAGATATTTTTAATGACTTAGCTTTTGTGTCTTGGGTTTATTTCATGTACTACTTTAATAGTTCCTATAGGAAGGCCAGATGCTCTTCCTCATTCTCATTATCCTCATGTAATGCAAAAGCCTGAAGACTATTGATTCAGTCCTAAGTCTCCCTTTTCCCACTAGGTGCAAGAGCAGTCTTTTGGTCTGGGAAGTCCATGTAAGTCAAGCAAAGTTTCCATAAAATCACACAGAGTTTAAAACCCAGTAAACAAATATTAAAAAATGCATAAAATTCATTGAGAGAGGAAGAGATCATATTTCGTGGGGCTAGAACATTCATTTTACTTTTCTACATTGGTCTCTATTAGATTATAATAATAATTACTATTTATTTGGTACCTTCTGTGTTCCAGGTTGGCACTAGGCTAGCATTTAAGAAGTATCAGATTCAAAGAGTCAACCTACCCTTGTCTAGCATCACAAACTTCTAAGTGAAAGCCTAGAAATCACCTGTCTGACCATAACATCTTATTTATTTTTTCTCTTACTTCAACATACTTTAATTTTTCTTGAGAAAATGTTCTGTATTCCTACGTCTCCCTTCATTATAGTCCTTTTCCCCACTTTATTAAAGAAAGGCATATCCTCATTTATTTGAAATCTTCTTAGGTGCACTGTATCAAGGAATAAAAATCTCCTGGTTGCTCATTAAAGGAACAATTTGAATCATTGATTTGGGGGAAGCTTCCTTGAATAATTAATAAAAGCACATAAAACCCCTATGCTTATCTTTCTTATATATTTCTGTTGGTAAAGTTTTGCTTTAGAACTAAGGTATTCTGGCTTATGATTGGGTACTCTAAATTAGTCATAGTCTAAAGCAATGACTATGACTCTTGCTTTTTTGAACTAATGTCAAAGAATGCAATCTTTTGGAGAGAGATATCTTGATGTCAACAGCACAAACAGTTAAAAAAAATTAAAACCTTTTTAAAGGAAAGCAATTCTTTCTAGCTATTTTGAAAATACTCATCCTACAGTTTTGCCATTGGTTGCAAATAAAAGTACTTCAAAACAGCCTAAAAAGTAGTGATAACAATGCTGATTACCTTTTTACTGTACTTTTTAAAGAATACCAAATGGGCCCTGGTGAATATATGTAAAATTTTTATAAGATTTCTCTCATAAGGGATGGAGGTGTATTTCAGTGGTATAGTGCTTTCCTAGCATGTGTGAGGCCCTGAATTTGAACCCCAGGACCATTATAGAAAAAAGAAAAAAGGTCATGTTGTATGTTCTGTTACTAGCTAATAATAGGTACTTTGGCATGTCAATTAGTTTTTCATGGTCTTGAGTTCTATTTCCCTATAAAATGAGAAGACTGACCTAGATCATTTGTAGTCTCCGTTATATCCCTAATAGTCTATAACTCTGTAACTTAAGATTGATAAAAATAGGGCTGGGGATGTGGCTCAAGCAGTAGCGTGCTCGCCTGGCATGTGTGCGGCCCGGGTTTGATCCTCAGCACCACATACAAACAAAGATATTGTGTCTGCCGAAAACTAAAAAAATAAATATTAAAAAAATTTCTCTCTCTCTCTTTAAAAAAAAGAAGATTGATAAAATATTTCCATGAATGACTGAAAACAAAAAATATTTAAAAATAACATTTTCCCCTTTTCTTCTCATTTTCCTTCTACCCTTCCTCCTATTCTTCCTTCTTTAATATTATGAAGGCCCTGTTTGCATATAGAAATGACTGTATTTTTTGGAGGTATTTACTGAAATTGGTCTCATTATTTTTCAATTACATCAATTCAATGGGTTTCCTTAACCAAAAATAATTAAATTAAATTCATGACATCATTATTTTACCTAGTAACTGAAATCTCAAAAACATATACTAAAGATAATATTATCTAAAATAAAAAGATCATGTTTGCATGATCTTACTTCTTATTTTTAAGAAAACTAGAATCTTGAAATAGCTCATCAGACATAAAACTCTGGAATAAGCAGATTTAACTGGTCTTTGTTGATTGCTAAAGAATATGTATGTGAGGTCCACTAGCACCACCTTGTGTTATTTCCAAACCAATATAACACATGATCTGTAAATAGTGCCATTTTTATTTTAAATAGTTTCATTTTGATAATTCCAAATGTAATATTCCACTGGGTCATATAATTTTTCATATTTGCAAAATTATGGGCAGTGAGGAAAGGTATTAAAATGTTAGCGGTATGCTTTTCTTTCTTGATCCCATCTTTGTCATCAGATGCTTCGGATTACAAAATCAAGATTGTTGTATGAGTGTTAAAATATACAAAAAAGAACAGTTAATATTCAATTGAATGACTTCCTAAAAAGGGCAAAGTAGAGCAGAGAACCCTGTGAAGAAATGGTTGCTGGCTAGCAGTATTCCATATGAGTGAATGTGTCATCTTTGGGTTGAGAAGCCACAGGTGCCAACATCATCACTGACAGGCGACTGTAGCCCCCTTTATGTAGCCACTTGGCTAATGCAGTAAATAATGTCTGCCTGTGCCCTAAGACTTTGGTAAGTTCACACCCAAACTGTTCTTTGTACCCTTATTAATACTCACAATTTTCTTCAAAACAATGTAGATTCCTTTACTACCAGAGAATGCCAAAGATTAAATAGAAATGAAAGCATCAGCTATGATAGTTAGAAGGATCTGGATGGTGGAAAACCCATTCTTAGTTACATGAATGTATCATACACATGCACATGTGTGTGTACATACTGGGGAAATACTAAATGAGGTACTGCTGAGGGCCATTGCTAAGTAAGAATGACGCATGGCATGACCCAGGTCATTTGCAGTGTCATTGCATGTAAAGTGACCTTGCTCAAGGACCAGGGCGGATCTGGGTTTAGGGCGGATTGGGATTTAGGGCGTTCCTGGTTTAGGGTTTAGGGCGGTTCCAGGTTTAAGGTGTACCCTGCTGGGAATAGGGCGTATCCTGCTGCCTCCGGTGCGACCACTCCTTGAGTTCCCATTGAGTTCTCCTGGGATTCAGAGAGAGTATTTGGGATTTGGCCCAGAACGTGATTTGGGCCCAGAACGTGAATTCCCCCAGAACGTGTGTAGAGTGCGGTGTGAGTTCGGGAATAAAGAGTTGCTGTTTGAATCTACAAGGTGTGAGTGGCTCGTGATTTTGTGCCCAGCCAGCCTGCGGCAAGGTACCATGTACTCAAACAATAAACTTTTATTGAATACCTAATCAAAACGATAATCATTTTTAGCTCCTATTTTGAAACCAGACCCTGTGTTGTATACCAGGGATATATAGTTAGCTAACTTGTGAAATGCAAAGGAAAAGTTTTTGAAGGAAATTATTAGGGCTACTCTAGTGAACATACAAATGATAGGAGAGTGAAACAACCTCATTGCAGATATAAAGAAGGGTTTAATGGTATGGATAGTAGATCAACTAACTAACACTCCCTTAAAATCAAAGCCTAATCCAGAGCAAGGATTAGGCTCCTCTCTCCAATTCCTTTAAGTATTAGGGAGGCAAGGAAGCTGCAGGGGAGTTTAAATCTAGCAGAAGCTGGCTCCTGAGGTTTAAGAAAAGACGCTGTATCCACAAAGTAAAAGTGCAAAGTAAAATAGCAAGTGCTGATGTTAAAGCTGCAGCAAGTAATCCAGAAAAATCTAGCTAAGATCACAGCTGAAGGGAATTACACTAAATGATAGATTCTCAATGTAAACAACACAGCCTTTACCTTGGAAGGTGCCATTTAGGACTTTTATAGCTAAAGAGAAGTCAATGCCTTTCTTCAAGGCTTCAAAGCACAAGCTGGCTCACTTGTTAGGGGCTAATGCAGCTGATTAATTTAAGTTGCAGCCAATACTCAACTATCATTCTGAGAATTCTAGTGACCTTAAGAATTAGACTAAGTCTACTCTGCCTGGTTGCTATTAATAGAATAATACAGTCTAGATGATAGCGCATCCATTTACAACCTTGTTTACTGAAAATTTTAAGCCCACTGTTGAGACTTATGGCAAAATCAACAATACCACATACATTTACACACACACCCATCTCCCAATATCAACCAACCAACAAAACATCTTTCCAGGAAGGAAGGAGGAGATTAAAAAAAAAATTTAAAAGTCCCTTTCCAAAGTACCTGATCACCCAAGAGCTCTGTTGGAGATGTACAGAATTATTGTTGTTTTCATGT